GCTGATCAGCCCAGCTTCTTCCCTGAGGCTGCCCAGCAGTGGTAAGAATCCAGGGTATAATAACATTTATTCAGGGAACTGTGCTGGCTGCCTGTGGTTGCCTTTTTGAGTGTGACCATCACCAATGATGCAGCTGTACTCTATAATCCCCTTTAACCAAGTAATCATTTTTGGTTTTCTCTGTGTGAAACCTTCACAAAACCATAGGACCCTTTTGTGGGCTTCTAAATGTAACTGGCTGAAAGGTATGGGGTATGACTGCTAAACAAGAGTTGATATATTTTGTTCTTTAGGGGAATAATGGCTTCTATTAGACTACATTTCTTTTGAATTGTTCTCACAGAATTGGCCAGATACCCACCTGTAAAATCTTCAACCCATTAGTCCTTATGTTCTTACAATAGAATCTTTTTCAAGTCAGCCCACCACACCATTATAAGCAAACTCTCTCCTGCAGCAGAACTTGCTCAGAATTCATCTTGGAGTTTGATAAGTCAACTCAGGTGTTTGCTATTGTCAATCAGAGATATATGTTCTTATAACAGAAAACTGCCTCATTATAGTACACAAGGGTGTCTGTGTTGCGGATCAAGGGAAGGCCAAGTCCACCTGTGAGAAATCCGACGGGTCTGTTTTAAATGTTAACGTTGTTAAGAGTTGAGGCAAGGCAACCATATGACTAGGTTTCTTTGGAAAATACAGAAAGTAAAATTCTTTTTTGGTTGTTGAATATTCATTCTTTTGGGTGAAAGACAGCCATTTATGTTCAGTCATTCTGGAGAGAATTCAGACTATTTGCTAATTATCCATGGTCTGGGTCATTGATGCTCCCTGCCAGCCCAGCTGGAGGAGGGCAGTGGTCTTATCTTAGGAAGAAGCACATAATGGATGGTATCTGTAGCCCATGACCTAATTAAAGCTAATTTATTGCCATGTACATTACTTACCACATTAATATCTTTAAAGTGAAAAGCTGGAAGATTTTATAATCTCTACGTGAGTTTTGTAAGTTTAATGTCAATGGTGGAATGGGTAACATTCCTAAGCTACATGCATATCATAGAAGTCTATAAAATATATAAAAGTAAAAAGGATACTGTGAAGTCTTTAATGAAATATAGCTGGAAAAGGAAAATGAGATTTTAAACTAGCTAAAATGGCATAAGCACTCTTATGAGCAAAATAAGGTAGAAATGACTACATAACCAACCTACTGATACACAACATGTCATCTGAACTTCTACAGTTAGGAATTTAATTCTTCTTAAAAAGCGGTAGTCATGCAGGGCACCGGTGGCCGCACACCTGTAATCCTAGCTGCTCAGGAGGCTGAGATCTCAGGATTGCGGTTCAAAGCCAGCCAGAACAAGAAAGTCAGTGTGACTTTCTCCAATTAACAACCAAAAGACCCAGAATTGGAGCTGTGGCTCAAGTGATAGAGCGCTAGCCTTGAGGAAAAAAAAAAGCTCAGCAACAGTGGCCAGGCCCTGAGGTCAAGCCCCAGGACTGACACACACACACTACATTGCTGCCTTGAAATAGTTATTACAAATGTTCTTTATATCAAAGATTTTTTTTAAATTAACAAACTTCTTAAAGAGATGTTTCCTAGCAAGAAGCTTAAAATATGTATATTTTTAGGTTAAAACAGAAACACAAAGGACAGATTTTCTCTGAGAAAAACATACATTTAATTCTTCCTTTAATGATAATGGCTATCATTTCTCCTTATAGACAAAGACAGCTGGCTAATTGAGAAATGCAAATATATATTATACTGATAACTTCAGCACTGTTTGAAATATTTTCTGGGACTGAGTTTTGTCAACAAATTCTGGAAAGCCTTTAAGATTTTTTTTTTAAACTCAGTATATGAATCTTTGTCAGAACAGGCATGGTTTTCATTTCTTACGCTTGGTCAAGTACACATATGTTTCCAATCACTTTTGGTTACTCTGTTAGGAACTTATTAAAAAAAAAAAAAACTAAACTAAATCTGTTCCAGAAGTAAAGTCTAGCTTAATTTTCCCTCCTGAGCACCTCTTCTCCCTTTCTTCCCTTCTTTCATTCACGAACTCCTCCTCAGCTTAAGCTGTCTAAAGTTGCTAAGAATCTGAAAAGGAAAACAGGCACAGAGGTAGAACAAAGCAGGCAAGCCTCTCCCATTCCCATCCCCCATCCAGGATCCATGCATGCATCTCAGGGAGCCAGATGTGAGTGAGGATTAGGTACCAATGGGCTCTGGGAATGGCAGGCCACTGTAGTTTGGGGTTTATTGACTGCTATGTTTTTCCCGGAACAGGAAGTGTTTCTCCTCTCTCTGTTAACAGAGGTAGCTACTTGCATAATCTGGGGTAGGTTCTGTAGAGAACTCTTCCAGGTTGGGCCTCTGCTTGGCACCTTTGATTGTTAAGAGGCAAGTATGGAGTTTAGCATGATTTTCTCACATAAAAATTTGAAAATTTAATAAGAAATGTACTCATTATCTTGCCCATGTAATTGTAACCCCTCTGTACAGTATTTTCACAATTTAAAAAAATTGAAAATTTAGAAGGGGATTAAACATTTGTGGATGTTTTCTTTGTGGCCTAACAAAGGTCATTCCTTTTTACCGTCGTTAACATTTGATCCTGGAAGGGTTTTGTTTTGTTCTTTGTGATTCTTTTTCTGAATCACCAAAGTTTTCTGTTAAGAAACAGACTTTTAGAATAGGAGGATCATCGGCAGTGCAGATCAGGACAAGGTGGTAGGTAATATGCAGTCCTCACCACTGGGCAAGTAACCCAGGATGCAACTCAGGAGTCTGAGCCACTGGAGGATGCACAGAGCCCTGGTGCTCTGAGCGTGCACTTGTATGACTCTCTGGACAGGATTTCCAGCATGAGGCATGGCCACTCCTCTTTTTTCCTGAAAGACACTTTCACTTCCCACAGCTCTCAGTCCCCAGTTTGCTAGAAGCTTCAGTGGCTGTCACCCCTCAGGTAACACGGCCCCCTGGGCATTGTCAGCTGGAATTCAGGCATAGTGATCCTGAAGTTATAGAGGGAAAAACCATGTTTTATACTGTTTTTCAGTGTCATTGCCCTCACTGTTAGCAAACTTGAGTAAGCATTTGAATACTTGTGAGAGGCAAAGAACATACAAAATTCAGAGCAGGCTTTCATAGGAGCTCCACTGTTGACCACCTGCTTTGTACAAAGCTGTATGTTTGCCATTCTTGACACTTAAAGCTTGGTCAGTGGTGACCAAGACTAGTCCCATCTCTTCCCTTATGAGTGAGCATAAACGGACCTACCTTCTGGTAATGAGGACAGAAACTACACATGCACGTACACAGACCTCACTTTATAACTAAATACAAGTTGCCACTGGCCAAAACCCTGGGAACAAACTCCCCAGAGGACTTAGACTCCATGGGGGCTCTGTGTACAGTAGTACTTGTAGACCAAGTACATTCAGAACCCAACTAACCTATGGACACTTTTAGCAGTGAGCACATGAGCCTGGCAGAGTGGGTGGGATCAACCCATTGTGGGAACTCGGAGTCCAATTTCAAAGCATTTGGCCCTAAGAGTTTGAACAGGAGGGTCCAAATTTTGCAGAGGTCACTTCTGGTTGTGGTATTGAGGTGGCTTGGGAAGGGACCATGTATCTGTCAGGTAGGCCACTCAGGAAGTCACGACAGAAATACGGTGTTAGTGCGCAGGGAAAAGAAATAATCAGAAAGCCACTCTGGAGTCCATTTAACACATTTGGAGGAGGAAAGAGGAAAGAGTAAGATTTGTTTAGCTTTGGTAGTTTGCTAGTGATACCATCACCCAAGAGACACCATTAGAGGAAGAACAGATGGGAGTGGGGACATAATGAGTCATGTCCCAGCCTCACATGTGGGAGGGAGAGCAATATGTGCCAAATTGCCCAGCAGGAATCAGTAGCTGAGATGTGACTGGAGAACTCACATGGGTACATGGAGAAACAGACAGGACGTGAGGACAAGGAGACAGTCACTTAATTCTTACATAGATGCCAATCAATCCTGTCCCCAAGGAGCTTACAGTCCAAGAGGAGACACACCAGCATACAAACTGTGCATGGCCAACAGTAAGGAAACCATACTCTTTATCTTTTTGGAGTTGACAGATACCAAATGGTAAGAGGAAAGGAGAGAAAGAAAGGCATTTCAGGTTGAACGATTAGCACAAGCAAACTTGTGATGGCCAGAAGATGGGTCCAAAGTCTGAAGTGCCTGATGTGACTCACCAAAGAGAGGTGTGACTTTTCATGAGTTCCTGAGGCAGTCTCTCTCCCTCCTCAGAAAGTGCTATATAGTTATTTTTTTTTAACTTATAGCAAACTAGTAAGTACTTAAAGGCTACTGGGGTTACTGTGAACTGTGATAAAAATGGAATACAATGCAGGAATGGGGAGAGAGCCCCCCCCCCAAGGATCCTAAGGAAGAGGTTTCAGGGTCACCAGCCTTGTGGCCTTTTATTTCTTGTTCTTGGGTCTGATTCCTTCTTATTTCACATGATGCTCAGTCTCTGTGGCCCTCCCAAGTTGGGAGTGCTCCATTACCATTCCAGAGCAGAGATTTGAAGTAGAACGTTGTCCCATTTTATCGTCATATCTCACAGTAATCCTCTAGCCTTTCAGCAGTTTTCATGAGTTAGCTGTAAATTGAAAAATGAGTGCACATCCTTTTTAAGGAAGGAAATAGAATGTTCTAGATACAAAAAGATTTGGAAACATGAAAAATTACATCTGATTCTTAACAGTGAGCCCTCTGAAAATTATAACCATAGGCTAAACATGAGAATTTATGTTACCATTTGCCTGATTCCGAAGGAAACAAAGGGATAACAGCCTTCCTCTAGTTGTTGGAGATGCCTTGGACCCCACTGCAGAATGGAAGATGTAATTTCTAACAGAGTTCATAGCAGTGCCTGTTTAGGCCCAGTAACAACTTCTGTCTAACCTGTCCCTCTTCTGTTTCTACCCAGCTCTCTGGTGGCTGTGAGCTGACAGTGGTGATCCACGACTTTACAGCCTGTAACAGCAACGAGCTGACCATCCGGCGTGGCCAGACTGTGGAGGTTTTGGAGCGGCCCCACGATAAGCCTGACTGGTGCCTGGTGCGCACCACTGATCGATCCCCCGCAGCGGAAGGCCTGGTGCCTTGTGGCTCTCTATGCATCGCCCACTCTAGAAGTAGCATGGAGATGGAGGGCATCTTTAATCACAAAGGTAAGACTGGCGAGTCAAGAGAAAGCACACTTTGCCGTGTAGTTCTTGAGTATGATCCTCCAAGTCAGTGTGTTATCACCATCTCATGGGAGCTGTAGTAAAAATAAGGGTTTCACCCATTACTCATAAATTCACCTCTTCCTGAAGTGGTGGAAGGAAGCCTAATGTCAGTCTGCAGGACAGTGCCATTCAAGTACAAGAAGAAATAGAAGGCATAGAAGTTATGTTAGAAACACTGTACTCAACCTTTGCCCAATTAGATTTTCTCATGGTGTTGTCTTTGTTAGCATTATATTCTAGACGTCAAATGCAGGCCCAAGAGTACAGCCACTTATTTTTATAGCCATGGAAACATAGGATCTCTAAGCATCTGAACTCCACAGCTGCCTGCCTGGAGAGGGAATGGAGCTTGAGTTCTGAGGGGTGGGGCTGTACCATGGAGCATTCAGTGGTATGTTCCCTGACTAAGAGAGTAGAAGAATTTTTAAGCCTTATTAGTAGATAGTTGTACCAAGAGGTCACATTTCCATAAGTCAGGTTGTGAGTACAATGCATCTTGATGAGTGTCATCCATTTCAGCATTCCTCCCCTACTTTCTCCCTCCAATCCCTCAAGTTTTGTAGTTCAGTTTTTACATAAAGTACATTGACTATATAATGACTGCATTTGCTTAATTACCCTTCCTCCTCTTCTGGTGCCCCCTCCACACCCCTGCTGACTACCTTGTAAAACATGTTTCTGCTTCCTACTATACATTTTGTTAAGCAGTCCATTGTTGTTCAAAGGAGTTACAGCTTTAGACTCTTTTTTTAGTCAATCATGGGGCTTGAACTCCAGATCTGGGTGCTAGCCCTGGGCTCTTTTGTTCAATGCTAGTGCTCTGCCATTTTGAGCCACAGCTCCACTTCCAGTTTTTGAGGTAAGAGTCTCTCACAGGGACTTTTCTACCCAAGCTGGCTTTGACCATGATCCTTAGGTCTCAGCATCCCGAGTAGCTAGGATTGATTACAGGCACGAGCCACTAGCAAGAGGAAAGTTTTAAAAGAAGTAATTCAAAACTGAAATATTAAGATATTTGAACAAAGCAGCATTTGATATTTTAGATTAAGGAAATTTAAATTAAGGAAATTAAAGCAGTGCTGTTTTTATGTGTGTATCTAGTCACGTCACTGGCAGGTCACTGTTGTAAGTATGAGTCTTTTAGGGGAAGGAAAGCTAGTATTGATTTGTGGGGTTTTAACTCAGGGCTTGGCTTAGTTGTTCAGCTGGCCCTCTACCATTGAGCCTTAACTCCAGCCCAACTTCTTACTGGTTATTTTGGAGATGGAGTCTCTTGGACTTTTCTGCCTGGTCTGGCTTTAGACCATGATTATCCAAATCTCAGCCTCCTGGATAACTAGGGTTGTAAGTGTGTGTGAGACACTGGCATTCAGCAAATCTTGAGTGCCTCCCGTGGCAGCTGCAAGACAAATGTGGTTGCTGAGCCATTGAAAAGTATCTCAACTGAATTGAGGAGTGCTACAGATGTAACACTGGATTTTTATGCAGAAAGTATTATGTCGTTATTTGATTGTCATATGCTAAAATTATATTTCATAGAGTATATACTTACTAAATACAGTTCATATTTTATGTCTGTTGGATGGTACTGGCTCAATGGTTACCTTAGTGCAAAACTACTTGAAACTTAAGATGTTCTTTGAAGAAAGCACTGTTGGTAGCTTCTAGAAAAAGGCATGGTTGATAGTGGTGAGTCCTTGTATCTTTTTTTGCCGTAGTTCTCTTTTTTACAATACTGGCAAATGCACAGTCTTGAGAGTTGAGGTATGCAGTTGGTTTTCTCATACTTCTATCATACTCAGTTTCTTTTCTGTTGATTTTTAAACATCTTAATGGCTTCTTCCCCTTACCCTCCATGCCCTTCTCACAGTCTTGGTGACACAGTGTGGGGCCATCTTCCAGCTACAGTCAGTTTACTTCCTCTCTGGCTACCAATGAGCTCAGTTTATTGAGCCCTTGAGTTCATAGGACCAGCTACCCATTGGATTTCTTGAGGCTATCACTGGGGTGACTACTGTCACCTCAGTAAGAAATGAGAAGAATGAGACTAGTATTTATCCAAAGAATCAAGAGACTTTTCAGTTTTTAGCTAAAAGCTGAGGTGTTAAATTTTATTGACCTTCCCATGGTGTCGTGCTTTTGAATTGAGTTGGAGACGTGCTCGCTGAGCTTTTTTATACTAACTTACTGCTGGTATATCTAATGTTGCCTACTATGTCTATGCCCTTGAATTTAAGTTGAAAATAAGATACAACTTGTTTTTTTCTTTAAGTTAATCCTTCCTTCAGAAGAGACCTGAATCCAAGCATGCTACAAATAACACTTGTTTTGAGGGATTGCTTTTTTATGTGCCTTTCCTATACTATGTTCCTTTGTGGTGTTCACTGTGCAGGCTAACTAATTAAAAGGAAAGAACTCAGCATTTATCACACCTGACTTTGTCTAAGAAATGTCTCATGGTTATTAGGTTTTGCTTGTTTTTAAGTTGCAGTACCATTTTGTTTCTCTCTCAGGTATTATGTAAAGGGATGTTCATGTCTGAAAAGATATTCCCTATGCTTAGAACACCCCGTTAGGCTTTTCAACAAGCCTCTGGTGGAGAATTCTGTTGAAGTGCAAACAGGTTTGAACTTCAGACAGGTTTAACTAGAGTCACATTCTAGCAGACCATACGCCATTATCAAAAACTCAGGGTAACCAAGGATCGAGATACAGAAGTGAATCTGAAGTACATAAACTCACCTGGGCTTCTTCCACCTGGGAAGCATGATGCTTTAATTTACAATGTACAGCCTGCAACCTGTCCATCCCCTTTCTGCTATGCATGGAAATGGGTTCATGATGCTGCGATTGGTAATATATTGGTATGTAATGAGCTGTTCGTGCCTGATACCTCATTTGAAGCCCCCTTTCATATTAAGAAGCATCTCAGCTTGTAGAATGCAGCAGTGAGCAAGGGATATATGAAGAAGCAAAGGAAATATAGTACCTCTTCTCACAACTCATTCTCATGACTAGGTCAGATCTCTTGGCCATATCAAATAAGCAAGTATTGTCTTTCATCTCCTATACCTCAAAACCTCTGAACATAAGATACTGCCATTGTGTATCTGTCATTTGTCCCTCTCTCCTCCAAAGACAATTTCCTAGATTTCTCTGGTTCTCAGAACTCTCTGTGTGCTGTGCTCAGGTTCCCTTGTGGATTTGGAAGCTTGGCTGGACCTGAGACTCTTGGACAGAGAGGATTTTTTTTTTATCTTGAAGGTAATAATGCAGAGGTTTCAATTCACCATGTCAGTTTATGAATACAATGCCTCCTTCCATCATTCTCCCCCATCTCTCCCAACGCCACCATCCCCTCAATTTTCCTAGTTCCATTTTCACGTATATACATTGAATATAATTTATTCTTTATAAGAAGATACTTTTCAGTTTGAAACTAGACTCCACCATAAACTACTCCATGGAGATGGGCAGTTGGTGGGAAAGCTTATTTTGTAAGGTCCACTGTGGAAGAACTGCTGCAGATGACCATCAGATGGTGCTTCCTTTGGTCTTGCTCTGGCTGCTTCCTCACAGCAGCGTAGTCACATTCAGCCGACATTGGACATAGTAAAATAGAACGGATTCAGCAAATCTTTGTGCTTCACCAGTCTTATTTTTATGGAGTTTGTGCTATTTACTGTGACCTCAAAATCTGGGTCAGGGCTTCAGCATGGCAGTTCCTGCCTGTGCCTGCAGCTTGCCTGGGGCACAGCTCATTCTGAAAACTACTGACTTCCTTCCTTACCCTCCCTTGGCAATATGTGGCTACTAGCTATAGAAATAGTATCAGGTAGTCACCTCTGATCTCCAACAAAGCCAAGTGACTTTTCTCTCCCACTGTCTCAACTCATAAAACTTATTATTAGTCAGAGTAAACAGGATTACCAAAAGTGTTTATATTTCTAATGAGGCCAATTTGAAATTTCCCCCCATTTGAGGTGCTGCTGTTTCCTTTTTTCACAGTCAGAGCTGCCACATGGGATGCCCTTTAGTTCCTCTTCAGGGAGGTAGCCTGGGACAGTTCAAGGGGCACCGAAATAGCATTAGAATCCAAAGTCGATGATCAGAATTGAAAATATTCAGTAAAACAAAATTATCTATGTCAACCACCTAGGCAAATTAGCATTACCAACTTTGTGCAGCTTGAGTGCAAAGCATGAATCTTTTCACTCGGTTAGCTTGTTTTTCTGATAAAGTGAGAATTTGTCATTAGTCCTGAGAGATCCTTCCAGGGTGCTAATGGTGCTTGTTGCATGTAGGAAACCACCAAGACCACCTGTGTTCCAGAATGGACTGCCTGTGTCCTGCCCATCACCATAGCCTTCTGCTGAACAGGATGGCTCACATATTGGATTGACTGGAGGATGAAGGAAGGGCCATTCTTGCAAAACTGTGCTTTGACAAAATGAGGCTTAATGGGAGTGGGGAACTTTTTTTTTCTTCTGCCAAAGGCCATCTGAACTCTAACAGCATTACAGGCCATAGAAAATTACCAATATATTCAGACAGCTGAGGATAGTCAACAAGAATCATATCTGATCTTTCATATGCCAAATGACTTAAAGGCCCCATAAATGACCTTCACTCTGGGCACTCCCATCCCTGGGAGAAGGTCTTTCTGTTGTTAGAGCCGTGGGGAGGGGCTATATGTTAAATTCATTCTTCAATGGGAGGCCTTAGTTCTGATCTCTTCTCTGTCTTTGATGACAGTGCATTCATTGGATCTAAGGCCCTTGACAACTGATATTATGAGTTTATTTATATTTTAAAAAGGTTTCCCAAATAAAGGTTGATACCAAAATTCCCAGCTTTTCCTTATGCTAACTCACAGTGATGTGGCAAGTGATCTTGTTTTCTTTACTAGTGCTCCAATATATATATAGTAGAAACCACCC